TTTATGGGCTTGGGGGCCCTTACATCACATAAAGGCATAAGCTTGAACTCCCTGGCCATCTTAATAATTACATGTTTTTTATACATAGTGGGCTCTTTTGGGTATGTCAAGATGGCCTCATCCTCAGGGTGCAAGCTAATAGGTATGGCCATTGGAATGAAAGACGAACCTAATCCCTTAGGGTTACTAGTGGTCGAGCTCTTAGATAGTTGGCTACTACTAATTGTTGATCCCTTACTTCTACTACTCTACATAATTTAAAAGTAATTAATTAACCTAAAGGCTGGAACTCTTACCTCTTTGGATGGTCGCTCACAAACCCAAAATTCGTGAACTAAAACTGATTTTACTGGGAGTTTAGTGTGAAACAGGAAAAAGTAAGAATAAAAAGAGGGGTATTTATAAGGGTCCTTCGAAGGTCAAAGATTGTCCAATTTCAGCCATTGAATCCTGATATGTGTCAATTATTTGAGATCAAGTGCTACTAGCCCAAAGCCTATCAGACACCTGTTATACATCCGTTTTATACTACAACCAAGAATATAGTTCGACTCAGGATTTTGCACCTCATTGCATCTCACATCGTTGCTCGAATATGCAATCACAAGCTGCGATATGGGTTCATGGGGGCTTATGATATTCACGAATGTCGTTTCAGCTTGATCTCGAACTCAGTTGCCCAATCCTATCCTCCGTCATTTACCTAAGCATTAAGGTCGGCCTTCCATATTAATGTCGGGCCTTCATGGAACATAATCCTTATCTCACCTTCTAGAAAATGTCAATCTCACTTCAACGATAATTCTCCATGACCCTTATCCATGACCCTTATCATCATTATTTACCTATCACGGTTCAATTCAAACTCAAACAGAGCACTTTCAATATAACATAAACACTTTGCATGATAGGTGGTTGGGTCCTTTTAGAATTCTATCACCAACATCTATAAATACATGAACAAAGTTCATTATAGAGACACGCTTTATATTATTTTCAGTTCATAGCCTCAACATAAATTCTCTCCCCAACTTAAGCATCAGAGGGGCAATGAGGAGACACTTTGGCGCTTTTGTTTCAAGTATTGGAAGATTTTATTTGTGATCTTAGTCATCAAGTTTCGAAACCAATAGGTACGATTTTTGGTAGTATCAGAAACTAATAATTTTTGCTCTTATGTTCTATATGAATTCATAAATGCTCTGATGTAAGATTCTTGTAGGATTTTTCGTTTGCTTGGGAATTATCTGTAAATATACTGCTACTTTGCAAGGCCTAACGGCTTCAATTGCAACAATTTACCTTTTAGGCTGTGACTGTGTGATATGTGGCAAAGTTCAAGTAAAGAAAATTGAAGACATGAACTTAAGTTCAGTGACTATTAGAACAATTAACTCAAAAAAGAAGCTTAGCTAAACATTCTCCTAGGTTCTATGGTCCTGAATTGCATTCACAACAAGGGCCTTAGATTCTCTTCATGTTTCACTTTTGATGCAGGTAGATGGCTGAAAGAATTTAACCTTCGATGTTAGGGAAAATGAGTGGAGGTCGCGTTGTTTTCTTGTTCTCTAGTTCTCCCGAAGTGCACAATGCACCTCATAAACACTTGTTATGATTCTAGAAGGTTCATTTGACTCCACGAGAAGTAAAACTTGTTAGATTCGACGTTGATATTTGCAAGTGATTCGATGAGAAAGGTGATTGAAAACTTGCATTGAGACAACATATTCTTCATGTAGGAAGCTTGACACATTCCTTGAATGCGAGGATTGGAAGGACTCCTCATCCTCGAGGAAGAATATAATATAAAAGTATTTGAACATGATTAATGATTCAACACAACTGTTACAAGTTTCTTGATCATTGGGGTTCCCTATGTTTGACTTACGAAGAATTAAGAAAATAATGAAGGTTGTGTTTTTATGATGTAACACTTCTTAATAATTAGAAAAGAATATATACAGTGTTTAGTTTATGTTAAGCAGTAGTGACATGACTCATTATTTAATTGGTGAATCATTAAATACATGGAACCTACCATTAACTTATTTATTAATTAAATGATGTATCATGTCACCGATGCTTAGGAGATTATTTTCGTGTGTGTGTATTCATTGTATTGTCCGCTATTTCATCTAAACATGTTCTTGTACATTGTTAATAAAAAACAAGGACTGTCGCCCTTGCCAAAATTCACAAAAGAGACAGATGGTGTTTACATACAACAAAATCAAATAACATTCTTAAAGGGAAATAAGATTCCATAACCTTAGCATTGGCAACCACAAAAATTATATAATCAAAATCATTGCACTCTATTGTCCCTTAGATCCCATCACCCCATATAAATAATCCCACAAAACAAATAACTAAAGTACAATCAAGTCCCTATTTTTTATTCCACTTCTTGTTTGATAAACATTGACATAAACCAAGTTGTAGTCCATCTTCAATTTACTTTGTTTTGTAAAATTCCAATACGCCTTGTTTCACATAGTTAAAATTGTTGTATATTTAGTACATCGTATTGCAGATAATTAAATATCATATTCCGAAGGAATTTCTACCAATCTAGAGATTCCAAGTGCCATTGAACAATTTAGAGTTTGAGACAACAAAATCTGAGATCACTACATTGTAAAAAATCTTTCATAAATTCATGTTCTCTAAATCATATTTAATCCAACATAGGAAGCCCATGTTTGGTTTTACTAGTAATCAGATTTTAGTAGATTTTAATAAAAGTTAGTCAAATATTTGATTGAAAAATTGATAAATGTTGTGAGTCCCATGAAGAGTGTTATTAAAAATTAATTATTGACTTCAATATAATATTTTTGTATCACTTTCACCATACCCAAATAGGAGTAAAATATATTAAAATAGTATATAACATTGTTACACAAGTATTGCTTTCCAAGATTCATTATGTTTTTAATTACAGGTCCTTTTCAAAATAACATTAATAAATATTAGTTTAAACAAGTGGTTGGTTTTAGAGCCTTAGATAGTGAGAAATTTCAAAGAAAATGATTAAAAACAAGACACTAGCCAAAATCCAGCTGGCTTTAGGGGTGAATCTCTATTGAATATTCTGCAGCTTGTTTCGATTTCAGTAATTTAATATCAATGATGTAAGGAACGAGAGAGTCTTGACTTAAAATACTTGTAATTGACATGGTCCTCCACCACTTATATTTACCCATTTGGCCCCCGAAATGAAAATGATTGGAATAGTATTTTTTTTTTTGAAAAATGAGTAGTTAAAAAAGTAGGAAATTTTTTCGATTTACGTGTAATATTATTTTATGAAAGATTGTGTGGTTGAAAATAGGAGAGAAAAAAATGAAATGTAATGAAATAAAAATTAATAAGACCATACGGGGGCTTATTTTGAAAGTATTTTGTTTCTTAACATCATATTATCAAATGCCTCCTTAAAAAAAAAAAAAAAAAAAAAAAAAAAAGGGGAAAAAAAAAAAAAAAAAAAAAAAAAAAAAAAAAAAAAAAAAAAAAAAAAAAAAAAAAAAAAAAAAAAAAAAAAAAATT